GTCTCCCAAACAGGATCCTATATGGGGAACTCTCAGAAGGTCAGCACTATGTTGAAGGACAGAAAAGAAGACCACCTAAATGTAATGCTAAAACATTGTGGTATTAATCCTGCAGAACTGGAAGCCACCAACCACAACACAATTGGTAGACACTATGCCGTCTGGAAATTGAAAGATTTAAAACTACCCAAACTCAAGATCAGGAATTTCACTAGCAACAATGTCATGATCGCCTAGTGCGTGGGCCACCACTATCAAATGTTGGCATTCAGTGTCCAACCTGTGTATGGCCATGTGTATCTCAGTTTGGTCTTCGTGAACATCAACATCAACATGTCATCAACCACTGATTTCTTCAGTTTTCATTCTTCTTATCTGGTGGGCACAGACATCATCATTGTTATCAATGAACTTCATAAAGGATATATATATATATATATATATATATATATTTGTGTATTTAGGCCGCAATCCTTCTTTCATGCACATTTAATTGAAAACGATAGACAAGCTGCTTTTATTTGTTTTTTCTCATGCAATCTAATAATTTTTTTCTTTTCAGAGATATATATATATATATATATATATATATATATATGGTGCTATGGATAAATTGTCATCTAAATTAAACAAAAATGAAAATAACACACAACTTATTTGAGCAGATATATTTACCAAAACTGCACAAAAATATCTTGAAATACTAAAGAGTAAATTTATTTAGTAAAATTCGCATTGGCTTCAACCTTGGCAAACAGACAACTTCAGAATTTCCTGTAACTCATCTGGATGGTTTCCTTGTTTAAGTTGTTGAATGCTGCCAGAATCCTTGCCTTTAGTTTATGTTTGGTGTTACAAGTAGTTCTTTGGTCTCTCACTCAACTGCAACCCACACATAATAATCAAGGTGGTTGCAGTCTAGAGAGTTAGGTGGCCAAATTTAAGGGGTGATGAAGTCACAGAAATTGTCTGACAGCCATGACAGCCACACTCTTCACCCAGGGCAGCACTACCTCCACAAGGCACTTGATGTAGGCCTGTGTATTGAGTCTGAGACCATCACCAACAAAAACAGTTCTTTTCTTATCAGAATCATCAGAGAGAGTTTTCTAAGCTTCCATACATTTGTAATCACCATTGGATTCATCCAATTCTCTCTGAATCCTATGCACTGTCTTCCGATTGACACCCAAACACTCAAAAATGTTTGTACTGGAGCTTTCCACATGAATACCACACAATACAGTATGCTGTTTCCAAATTTCTGGCAGAGTGATTTGCGTCATGGTGCTCTTTTCCTCACAGATGGTGCCCAACTAACCCTACAATACTATGCAGCCAACAAATTCAAAAACAAACCATGTGCATGTAAAAAATTAGAAATATAAAATGGTGACAATTTACCCATTTCTCCTTGTGTGTGTATATATATAGAGAGAGAGAGAGATATGAAGAAATATAGTTTTAAGGTGTGCTATATTTGTGGGATAAAATGTTCAATATCAGAGATAGAGCGTATGTAAATATGCGGCCTGATGATTGTGTATGTAAATAGACGGCCTGACGATTGCATCCAGCATGAAATAGCCTGTCGCCCCTAAGTGTTAAGTTCAATGTTCACTTTTATATATATATATATATATATATATATATATATATATATTGCTCTAATATAAAATAAATATGAATTTTTCCTCACAAGTAAAGTATCATAATGGAAATTGGAAATTCAAGTTAATCTTATCCACAATGAATAAACACATGTAAAACAATTTATGAAAATGTAAAAACTGTAATATTGCACACAAAATGATTTAATGATATCATAATACCCTGATAGCAAATTAATGATTTTATAATATAAAATTGTCAGACCATTTCTTTACAATACATTCTTATAGCTTCTAAATTCCCACTTAATACTTCAGAGACCTAAGTTAATTGAAATCTATGTATCCTTGAATCTGATAATGTCCTTGTTTTAGAGCCAATGTTAAAGAAAAACTGGTAATTGTTGACATTAGTCAAGTTTGTTTTTGGCAAGTAATGTGCTTAGATTGCAATTCAACTTAAAGTAATGCAGTGTTGCATAACTAAAAATAACAGAAAATTTCTCATCAGTACTTTGTTTTGTCTCTTTTTCCTTGTTTTATCAATTGATATTTATACAATATCAATTATATGAAACTGTCAAGCACCTACTGTCAATATGCTTGGCAACTAGAGAAACATTTTCTTCAGAATGATTTCATCTGACAGCGCGCATGTCAAGGTCTCAAAATAGAAAATAATATCAAACAATAAAAACAATACTCCAAAACATCAATACACCAATGTGGAATGATTTGACAAGAAATGAAACATAAGTTACTCCCAAGTTAAAGCATTCACAGCAATTGTCTTTTTTCTGCAAGTGTATTAAACAATTATTTAAATTAACTAATTTTAAAACTAATAATTTTTATCTGCTATTATTATCTGAACAATTTAGTTAAAAATAATTATAAACAACAAAAATAATATAGAGAAAGAGCTCTGAGTATATTTAATGTCAATAATACCTACCAGAAAAGACAGATTTGATAATTTTACTTAAAAATTTGTTCACTTACAAAGGTTTGAAGTTAATATTTAGACACTAGTATAACAATTAAATGAGTCCTTGCTACTAAAGTAATATTGAGAAACTGTAGATGATATTTTTTGTCTGAATTTCTGGGATGAAGAGTTATCATTATTTACATTATTTATATTCAGATTATTGTCCTCATCTTTGTTGTTTTTATCACATTTCAGCCATAATGGCCTCCAGCCTTCATCAGACGTATATTGATTTGGGTAACCTACAGGAAATTTTTGAAGTTTCTGATTGTAATCTATTAAAATTTATTAAATAAACAAAATTATTTTAGAAGTTAATTTTGTATTCATACCCACATTTGTAAATGAATTATCCATTGTTTGAAATATTTCTTTATGCTAAATTGTTCTCTTATACCTAGTTTCAACCAACCAGCTACAAATATTATCTTCATTAGCTCTATATAAAATTGTATGGTTAGTTATTCCTTATTATATATTGTATAAAACTGCAATATTAGGTTATCAAATATGTTTGCCTTATTAATACAAGGATATAGAAGGCTTAATTTCCAAAGCACTGTAATTGAGTCACAGAAATTTAAAAGATATGTTTATACTGTAATGTTGTCTATTAAGTAAGCAATTATAAGGATGTCTTAAAAAGTAATTAAAAACAATGTGTATATCTTAATAAAAAAAAAATATATTTTACTGCTACCAAATGAGACGCAGTGACAAAAAGTGAGCAAATGTGGTAGACAAAACGACACCAATCACACTGGTCTACCTTCAATTTGTGTAAAGTGTAATATCCACAAAATGCTATAAAATGAAGTATGTCTGTACATCATATTATATATAACCAGTAAGTGTATTTTACAATTCTAGCTTATCAAGTAAATGTTTATTCAAATCCAAACAATTGATAAACTACTTTAAATTTAAAGCTATAAATTATCTCTATAAAATACAAAGCAAAATTTGTTATCTAAAAAATATAGAATTATCTTAGCATTAATACCTCTAATGTGAGCATTTTATTTGCTATTGGGAGTTTCAGAATATATTATACTATGAATTGATTTTAATATTCTTTTTTACCTCTTAGGAATCCTGATAAGAATGCTCACACAGTTGTGTGGATGTGCTGGTAGGTTAATGTATATCAATGTGGAAAGTAGTATCACCAAGTTAAGTTCAAATTCAGAGCTAGTTTATTGCATTCATTTTTGTACAAATACCCTTGGGAAAGGCTTGAACACACCTTACATCCAGCAGCAATGAGTTAAATAGAAGGGTAGACTGAATTTTCTAGCTTTGTGTGGCAGCCACTCAACAAGAGAAGAAAAACTGAATTTCAATCTGTGAAAAAAAACACTCCATTATCTTTCCCAAGAATGTAAGGTAATTCACAGATAATAAAAAAAAGGAATCTGTGGAGAGAGTCTAATTCTTGAAGGGTCATGTTGTTAAATAATAAGTTTGACAAATTTATAAAATATACCACTTTCATTTTGCTGACATTTGACAACCCATAACTCTTTATATTCTAACTATTAATAATAAAGAAATGCATTTAAAAGATTTCACACAAGTGATTTTGATTTTCTTGGATGAATTCAAAGAGAGAAGTATAATCAATATGACTTGCAACACTAAAACATTGTTTTTATGAACTTGTTTTTGGTACAATGCTAGTAAATGAAAAATATTTGTACTGTTATTAGATTTTCAAATAATGTATCAAACTATTTCAATTATTTGATATATCACAACATAGTTTGGACAACAGATATTGAAACTATTCTAATGCTACCTAATATAGTAATTTTATATTAATATTTCTTTATGGGTCTTTGTGTATGCTTATGGTGACAGGACATTTTCTCTTATTGCCCAACTCTCTGTATGGCTGGTTGGTTGATTTTGTTTAGTAGCATATCAAACACTACGGTATATTTAATGCCAAGGTCTAAATATTTTGAACACAGTTTTATGTCTTCAACTACAGATAAAATATATTGTTGGCCATTCTGCTTTAAAAATGTATTGTTGGTAATTTTACTATATGTATCAATGGTAATTATTTTATATAAAAATGTATTGCTGGTATAAAATATATTTTTATACTTTCATAGTGTTTTGTTTTTGTTAGGGATTCACTATTTGCCTATAGCTGGGACCCTAACAGGTGCTACTACTCCAGCTCATGATGAACTTGGAAACAACAGCAATTAAGAAGTGGTTCCACGCTACTCAAAATCTACAATCTCCTGGTCTTGCTACCAGATGTAGTTTATCATCATATCCAGGACTTCTTTGGGTCTGGACATGACCAAAGTATCCCTTATTTTTTCCTAGGATCTGCAAATGTTTTCTTTCAGTCAAAATTTGAGATAAATTCAAGATTTTCTCAC